TGGAGGACCCTCAACGTCTCGCAACCCTATGGGCCTTCACGGCCTGGTACAGGGATAGCTTTACTTTTTTTTTATTTCTATGAATCACAGTAAAATTAAATATCACATTTACTAAAAAATTAAAAAAAGTAAAGATGTCCCTGTAACAGGCTGTGGAGCTCCATAGGGATACGAGACGTCGAGGCCACCACATTTACTAGACAATCGGATCATAGATGGCGGTAAGGTTCTCAGCCCTACTCGCCGGTCACCCTTTGCCCCCCTGAAAATTCCGAGAATATTCCTGGTACTCATTTCACCCGCAACCAAATAGAGAACACGCAACACGAGACACGATATACCCTGAGAATAAGAGGAACGACTCCCATAGTGGTGAAACTATGCGTGGTGTTAGAATTGAGACAGATAAGATAAATAATCTTAAGAAGTTTTTAGTATATATATTTATTATAATTGAAGAATATTTTTAATCCTTTTTAAATTTTACAATGACGTAATGGCAAGCAATGAAATAGATTGACGTAAATAGAGCACCTGATGATGGCACTATGGTGCCGAAACATGTTGTGAAGTAACAGGTGAAATTGAGTGCACTAAAAGACGGACATTGCTTACATAACATGGACTGCCTTATTTTTGTTTTGATTGTTAGTTATTTTTGTGTCCTTCCACATACTCGTGCTAACTTTATAATTGGCCTTTGAGCTGTTAAGTTTGCACATAATTAAACAAGAATAAGATTGAATTGAATTACTGTACAAACTGATTTGTTTTATATTTTCTTTGTAAGTTTTTTGTTGTTTTTCTCTTCTTTCCGGCGTTTGCTATGTAAGTGACCGGCGGGAGTTGCATTTGCAAATAAATAAAGCATAATTAAAGTGAACTGAATAATAATAAGAATAATAAAAGCGATTCAATTCAATTCAATCCTTAGTTATCTTCGTCCTAACTCAACATTCTAAGGGCCAAGAGCGATAATAATAACGTTAATAACCCCCGACAACGGTAAATAGGTTTTTTGTCTTTTAGATTTGAGGTTCTCACAAATCACAGTGACCGTCGTTATAAAGAACGCCATATAGTTATGTAGCAATCCACCGACATTTCGAAGGAGCTCACTATCTCCATCCTCAGGTTTTAAAGAATAAGTCACGGATGAAACCAAATAGAAGCAGGTGGCAAACATAGCACATAAAGGCTCTTCCTTGTTCCAATAGAGACTACGCTTCAACAGTCTTGTTACAATGGTAAATGTCCCTGTTTAGCTTCTGACTTACGACTTTTCCGTGTTAGCAAATAAAAGATTTAAAACATGAGCATATACTCCATGCCTGATACATGAAATAAATTCGGAAACCAATGAACTGCAACATTATTGAGAGGGGCCCTTTTCAATATATGAATAGGGATACGGAAGAGGGGATGAATTTTAAGCAAGATATTTTCAAATACATGATTTCTGTATGCGTTCTGTGTGGTAAAATCAACCCCTTGGCCTACAATACATTAGAAACGTGAAAAGGAGGCACCTAACCCTTTTCTGTATATATACAACGTCACAATGGTTACACGTTACACTTCACAATAGGTTTGAATAATGAGAACGCGACTCCATTTTCATATATTCAAAAGATAAGGGGATAATTGTGTGCACGAACCTTCGAAACTGGAAAATATCAATTACACGAACTAAAAAAATAATAATAGGCTGAAATGAAACCAATGGGCGTGCTGTTTTACAATACACATCCAATGCATTCAGCGAGCTTCCAACATTTGCAAAATGTGCTGGTAAGTTTTAAACTTCGGAAAATGCAGTTCTAAGATTATTTACTGCCAGAAATGAACTATGAACAGCAGGGTCCTGATTTTGATGACATGTCATCTTTTTTTCCTTGTATCCTATGCGATGCTCTTAAATATATAAATCTCGGATATGAGCTGCTGGTTACAGAAATGTAAATTTTATAGGTAATTTTTGTAATTTTTTGACATTTTTAGGTTTAAGGTCATTTTGTTCATTTTGGGGGTATTTCTTTGGTAAATTTTTGGACGTTTAAGGGTATTTCTTGTCATTTTTGGCCATTTTAGGTAATTTTTCTTCATATGTTTTCTGAAATGTGAATAACTTGGAAGCGAAGTGTTCTTTCTTTTTTCCTTTAGGTCAATTTTCTGGATTTTTCGGTCATTTTATATGTCATTTTTTAAATATTTTCAGATCATCAAAATCCGGGCCCTGATGATCACTAACCAAAGAAACCTCAAAGACACATGCATAGTTAGGTCTACTTGCTTTGTTTTCCCCTCTAACATGGAGACATGCATAATGAAAATATTCTGAGAATATCCTTAAAGAAATATATATGCTCATAGGAATGCAGCATTGTCTACTCTCTGCTTAGAATTAGTACAAGTGTTATAGGAAATATTAGGGAGCCTAAGACTAAACTAAAAGGGCCATGAAACCCGAGGAAGAAGAAGAAGAAGAAGAAGAAGAAGAAGAAGAAGAAGAAAAGGCGAAGAAGAAGACGAAGAAGAAGATTATAGGTTATGTTCCGATAGAGATTAATGCTGTGCATAACACATAACGACCGGTCACAGTGGCCGCGCGGTCTAAGGTAAGAACTGTCTTCGTCCGCTCGGAAGCCGGGATCGTGAGTTCGAATCCCACACAATATATGGATGTTTGGTATGTGTATGTGTTTATTCTGTGTTTGTGTTGTCCTGTGTTTAGGTAGAGGCCTTGTGACGAGCTGATCACAAGTCCAAGCAGTCCTACCGACGCTACCGACTGTGTTTAGGATTAAGAAACTGAAAAATTGGTCAAGGTCCAACTAAGAGCTGCAGAGCCATACATGGATGGATGGACGGACAGACAGACAAATAGACAGATAGATATCATACAATGCGTCCTTATGTAGTTATAACAGCGTCTAAACTAGATC